GTATATATATGTGTATATATATATATATATATATATCCTGAAAATCCACCCATGGGGATATATCCATTTGAATTAGTCATTGTCCTTTCATTCACCCAACAATATTTATTGAGCACCTGCTATTTTTCTGGTGCTACCCTGAGCCCCAGGAATAAAAGAGTAGGTAAAATAGATAAGCACATTACCTTTATAAGTTCATGAGCTTTTAGAGTCCTACCTATTGGCTTAATACTGCTCTCTACTCAGGCTTAAGAGTGGTATGGTAGATGTAATCATAGGTTTTATTATTGTTTTATTTTTATTAACATATAATTGTATATAATAATGGAGTATATAGTATGATATTTTGACACACGCATACAGCAATTCCTGATGAAATCAGGGTTTTTAGCATTTCCCTCTCCTTATTTTTCTTTATGTTTGGAGCCATACAGACCTCTATGTAGGTTCAAATTCTACTATTAATGTGCTGTGTGACCTGGGGCAAGCTATTAACTCGTCTGAGCCTCTCTTTATCTCTAAAATGGCAATAACAATCTCTAGGTAAGATGGCTGTGAGAACTAAATCTGATCATGGATATGAATCAATACAAATACTCAGTAGATGTTCACAGTGGTTATCCCTGAATCCTCCAAAGCAGAGCCAATCTGATAACCCTAATAAATATTTTTGTTACTATGGAGCACTTTTTCAATGCTAGAGATCACTAAGAAGTTTGCATATATAATCCTTTTTATGCCTAGGAAGTATCTTCCCGACCTCTGTACCTTTTCCTAGTTTAATTTCTGGTTCCTCTTTTACCTAGTTCTTTTTTTTTTTTCTTTTTTAATCCTTCCCAGGAAAGTACTTAAGACCCCAGACAGTCTGAGGAAGAGGCTGTAATCCTGTCAGGAAACATTGTGTGTCTCTCTCTCACCTCTAGTTCCGATCTCCCTGGGTCCTACACAAGCCAAAATAAGTCTGCAAGAGGTGTTTGAACCAGACAGAGCCACGAAGCTCTCCGCTATAGCTGCCGCCACCGACAGCACCTTTCATCACAGATCCCCATCAAGATGGTGTGTTGTTTCTGTGTGTCATTCCTGCCCAGTTTTTGTAGTTAAATTTCCTCCAGCACCATTGGGCAGCAAGATCCACTTTTCTTCCGAGAACTGGAGACAGGAGACAGCAAGGAGTTGTTATCATGGAAACCACGTCTCCCCTGGGCCCCAAGGGGCACTTCTGGAAATGGTTCGGAATCTGATCACAGTCTTCAAGCATAAGAGCCGTGGTTAAAAGCTGTTATTTCCTTGCGTCTGATAAGCGGTTGTTGAGAAGCTGCCAGCTCTGGTTTTGCTGGGGGAGATTGGATTGGGGGAGGATGTGGGTCAGAAGTATGGGAACAGATAACAGGGTGGGGGGCCCAGAGCCACAGAGCTGCACGGCACCCCAAAGTGTATTAATGGTTAGATCATCCTGTCCAGCTCCTTGTCCAGAGAAAGTCAAAGGGACACTGAGGTGAGAAAGAGGCTCAGGTTTAAGTAAAGAAATGAAAAACCTGGATGAGAATCATCAGTTCAGAGGATCTTGAAAAAGAATTCCAGACACAAAGGTTGCAAACTCAAACACAGGCAGCAAGAGGAAAATGACATTAAGTGATGTTGAAATAAGCTTGGTGAGGCTTTGGGGGGATAGGAGAGCACATGCTTTATCTAAAGGGGATGACAGCCACCAGCTTCAGGTGACAACTTGCTGTCACTCCAGCACTGACCAATTACCTATATTTCCAAGAAAAACCCAAATGTAGAATTCTAAGCAAAACCTCCCAATGTTTAAATGTAAGCTATGAATTCCAACATTTTAATCGGATTGAAAGCCAAACTGTACAATCTGTGTCAAGGTCAACTCCAGTCCATATCTTTCCAGTTTTCAAGTGTGCTATGAGCATTGAAAACAACTCTGAAATTCCAGAAGCAGAGGGACATTTAGTTTAGCCTCAAAACCCACAGCCATAGCAAAAAAACACAATAAAAAGTATTTATGATTTATTCAGTATTTACTGCATGCTTAGCAATTCTCTTATACTACTTTATTAAGTGCTCCTGAAACCCTTGGAGTTGTAGAAAATTTTACCCCAACATACAGATGAGGAAACTGAGGCTTGCAGAAGTCACACTTTGCTGCACTGGAGTAATCATTTCCCCTGTATCTGCAGCACAGACGGTCCCAGGCATCTCCATAGAATACTCCCTCCCACTCCAAAAATTTGCTTCCCTGTATGTTAGGCTTGTTCTGATGTAATGGCTCTTAACCAAGGAGGAGCAATTTCACTCCCCACAGGACATTTGACAACATTTGAAAATATTTTTGGTTGTCACAAGTGGCAGAGGCAGGGGGTGCTGCTGGCATCTAGTGGGCAGAGGACAGGATGCTGCTCAGCACCCTACAATATGAGGCCAGTCCCTCGCAGCAGAGAACTCTGGCCTACAATGTCAGCAGTGCCACATCTAAAAGGAGGATGGGAGGGAGAACCAGGAGCTGCAGGCAACGAAGTCTATGAAGACACAGAGAATACCAGAGATGATCCTAATACATTGACCGTTAAGAAAAGTGATTAACCAACTGCTCAAACCAAATTGCCTCACTAGGATGTCGACAGTCCCACAACACATCTTCTTATTACCACTGTACAGATAAGGACATTGAGGCTCATAGGAAGAATGAGATTGATTTTCCTTTGTGATTCATTAATAACTTTGCACAAATATTTCTTGAGGATCTGAAATATCAGGGTTCTAGGTGAAGGCTTTGACTCTTCTGCTAATGCTTATGCAGTGTTTGCTACACGGCAGGCCTCAAGTATTCTACATTTGTTATCTCACTCAATCCTTCTAACAACTCAATGAAACGGATACTCTGTATTATCTGGGATATTGGGATTGAGAGAAGGGAAATCACTTGGCCTGACTCACTGGAATTTACCCGGATGTTTGTGACTGAATCCTATACTCTGAACCAATTCACTGCCCTGAAACCTTCCATGATGTTTATCCAGTCAGGAAGTGTTCACTGAGTTCCCCATTTAGAGGAAATCCAGGATACATATGGGCAACTCTGAAACACATCCTGACTTGAAGAAGTTTATGTTCACACTCAAAGATCAGGCCCATTCATCACTAATTATTATATCAGATGAAAAGTGACAAGGAAATGAAGAATCCGGTAAATTGCTAGAAGGCAGGAGTCAGCTTACAATGGCCTGTAGACCAAAACCAAGCAGACTGCCAATTTTTATAAATAGTTTTATTGACACATAATCATGCCCATTTGCTTACATATTATCTATGGCTGATTTTGAATTGGGTAGTTGGTACAGAGACTATCTGGCCAGATCTCTGCAGTTCTCCCAACAAACCCATCAGGCATGTTATTAATTCCAGTTATTTATTTTGCAGTATGGAGATTGAACCATAGCCTTCATACTGAGGTACATACATCCCAGCCCTATTTTAATTTTATTTTTTAGGACAGAGTTTTGCTTAGTTACAAAGTTTCCCAGGCCAGGTGTGAACTTGCAATCCTCAATCCTCCTGCCTCAGCCTCCCAGAGTACTGAGGTTATAGGCGTGCACCACCACACCTGGCATTAACTCCTTTCACATGTGATGAGGCTCAGGGAGGTCAAGTGGCACACCCAAGTTCAATTAGCTAATAAGGGTTTAAAGAGTAACAGCTGTGACTCCAATGCTGTTAGTCACCTGCATGTGAAAACACTCAGCACAAATCGTTGCTCCTGACAAGTCCTCGCCAGAAAAAAAATTTCTTCTGTTCTTTTTGGGCTAGGGTCTCACTCTTGTACACTGATAAGAAGTATCTCCTAGTCTCAGGATTGGAACCGACTGCTAGAAACAGCCTGTCTCTTTCAGACACCACCCAGGAAGTCTCCAATTTCAGCAGGTTGCAAATCTGCTAACTCAGCCTCACCTCGGGAAGCTGTGCCATTTGCAGACTGGCCCCAAAGCCTCCCTAACCCCAGTGGTCCTGCACTTGATATTTACACAGCACTTTACAATCTCCTCTGGTTAATCTGGCATGTTCCCTGGTCACTTCTCATTAAGTCGAATGTAGCCTCCTTTTCACTTGCTCTGAATTAAAGTGTCACTTTTCCCAGCAAGAAGCTGCAGGTGGAAAGTACAAGCACAAAGCTTGGAAGGAAGAGAGGGACAAGGGGACATCCCCAAGTCAGCTCCCAGCTCTTCCCTGGACCCAAAGCCATACTGCCTCTTGTCACTCCGCCCTGCCCACAAGTTAAACAAAGAAACAATTCCCTGTATTTTGGGGATTTTTAAAAGCTGAGGATATCTGGCCCAGCTGGTGCAGGAAAATATTTGACAACAGCAGTTGGACCTGTAAATGTCTTTCTTGGTGTTCCCAGGCTAGGCAATTAGCCCAGCTGTTCAGCCAAAGCCCACCTGGAATGCTTTGGGGAGAACTAGCTTGGGAGCAGGCTGCTGCTCTGATTTCAGCTGTCCCTTGTCGAGGATCTGAGAGCCCCTGCTCTTCTTCCTTCTAGCTTGATCTCAGACCATAAAAGCCAATTGCCTCCCCGAGGCATTTAGTGACTGACAAACTGCTGCCCTAGCAGTGGTGAAATGGTTACTACTGGGCCTCCCTTTGGCTGCAAATCCAGGAGCAAGAGAAAAGGAAGCTGCATATTTTAGTAGAAAGGATTTAGGTTTAAATCCCCCAGCTCTGTTTCTTCCCAGATTTGTGAGTCCACATAAATCATTGAGCCTTTCCAGTCCTCTGTTTCTTTTCCTGTACGATGGGTCGTCATCTTTGGCTGTCTTCAAGATGTAATCAGATGACACAACGACTGATGACATGAAATTGACCATCTCAACCATTTTCAAATATCACAGACCGGTGATATTAAGAACATTCACCCTGCTGTGCAGTCAGCAGTACCATCTATCTCCTGAAGATGTTTCATTTTGCAAAACTGAAACTTGGTATATTACAAAACACCAATTCTCTATTTCCCTCTCTCCAGACTCTGCCAACTACTATTCTACTTCCTGTTTCTATGAATTTACTTCTCTGGACATCTCATGGTTTTTTTTGTTTTGTTTTGTTTTCGTATGTGACTGGCTTGTTTCACTTATAATGTTGTCAAGGTTTGTGCATAATATAGCATGTCAGAATTTCCTTCCTTTTAAAGGTTAAATAGTATTCTACTTATGTAGGTACCACATTTTGTTTATCCACATTTTGCTATTCACCCTTCAGTGAGCATTAGGGTTACTTTCTCATTTTAGCTCTTGTGAATAATGCTGCTGTGAACATGAATGTATAAATATCCCTTTGAGACCCTTCAGTTATTTTAAACATATGCCCATAAGTGGAATTGTAGGATCCTATATTTGGCAATTGTTTTTTAATTTTTTGAGGAGCTGTCATACAGTGTTCCATAGGAGCTACACCATTTCACACTCCCATGAACAGAGTACAAGGGTTCCAATTTCTCCAGCATGTTGCCAACACCTGTTTTCTGTTTGTTTTTATTTTTACACACATAGTCATTCTAATGGATGTGAAGTGATACTCCATTGTGGTTCTGATTTGCATATCCTTATTAATTAGTGATTTGAACATTTTTCACGCATTTGTTGACTATACGTGATTTCTTTTTTTGATCCTCAGAGCATGTCAGCGTTCCGACCTGATGTTTAGTATTGCCAATACTGTAAGATCGGAATCACAGCTCCAGCTGAGTTTTCCTTGCAGGTCTGAATGCTTGTCTGCTCCAGGGCTCAGAGCTATTTTGAGAGAAGAAGCTGGTACTTACTTCAGTCCATTCTCTTAGATTGCAGGAAGTCACCTCCCTTCTCTGGATTTTATCAAGATGCTTTGAGGACATATAAAATAAATTCAAAACAACTTTATACGTGGCGCAAAGAACATTTATGAGGGACCACACAGACCTAGGTTTGTGACCTATTCTGCCAGTTGTCATTTGCCTCAGATCCTAGCATAAATGAAACGTTCTATGAGTATTAGTTAAATGGATAAATGCATGAATAAGTAGTGAATGAGTGCTCTCTTGCTTATCAGTAAAAGTATACCTATTTGTGCAATGGTCTATCAAGTAATAAAATTATTTGCACAGTGCTTTACAGTTTTGAAAATACTTTGGATGCAGTAGGGCTGAACGGTTCAGAACTTACATTGCATATTAGACAAATCTAGGTTCGAATCCTAGCTCTATCAATCCTATCCCCTTGATCTTGGAGAAGTTATGTAATCTTTAGTTATATAAGTCTCAGTTACTCCATTTTAATATGGAAATAATGAACTGACCTCAAAGATGGTCTCACTGATTCTTGCTTCTGATGTTGACGTTCAGGTTCTTATGAGGTCTCCTTTGGCAATGAAGGTGGCTGACACACACAACCAAGAGGATGTTGCTGAAATGATAAAGTTAACATAAAGGACATGACAGCCTTTGTCTTGCTGTCTCTTGGGTCACTCAGGCTTAGCCACCTTCTCAAGAGCACACTCAAGCAGCCTTGTGGAAAGAGGTCTACATGGCTAGGAACTGAGCTTGCCAACCATGTGAATAAAACATTTTGGAAATGGATTCTGTAGCCCTGGTCAAAACTCAGAGGACTGAAACGTAATGATACAGATTGAACTAGAATCACTCAGGTAAATCACGCCCAGATTCCTGACCAACAGAAACTATGTATGAGGTAGTAAATATTCACTGCAAATTTTAAAGATGCTACATTTTTAGATGATTTGTCACTCAGCAATAAATACCTTGTACACTCAGCTCACATGGCCACTGTGAAGTTCAAAAGCATATGAATGTTCTGCTTTGCAGAGTGCCTGGCCTATACTAGCAACTCAGGAGCTATCACTCATTATCACCATGTTGCGCCACAAAGAGAGTTTTTGTTTGTTTGCTTTTGTTCTGTACTCTGATTCGAAGTCTTAAGAAAATGTGTTTGCAAAGTTATGCTCTGGACGAGGCATCAACGAATGACTTACAGCATATTTGACGCAGAGCCAGGAATGCAATTTTTGTATTAACCAAGCTAAATACAGGGGCTGTGAGACAAATAAAACTCTGAAAGGCTGAAGAGTCCTTCTAGAATTGCAAATATTTAGGTAACCTAATAACAGGGTCTGTGAAGCCCCAAGTAAAAGCAAAATATGAGACCAGAACATTCAGAGCACTGTATAAACAGACATACTGTTAGGATTCCCTACATCTCAAAGTCTACAAATGCCTTAGGAGATTATTATTATTTTAGCCCTAATAATCCTGGTAGGATGATTATCATTGTGCCCATTTTGTGGATGGGCCAATGGAGGCTTAGAGGGTTGAGATAGCCTTCCAGCAACATAGTCATCCAGTGTTACTCTGGGTTTCAGACCCAGGCCTCCAGTCCTCTTCACTGGACTGAGCTCAGAGATTATTTCATGATCCCAGGCTTCAGTCTCTTCCTTTTTCTGAGTTCCAATTTTTACGAACTGTAGGGTTTGGAAGATGCTAGGGACCAGATGTTTAGAAACTTAATGCACAAGGCAGTTTATTTAAGTGAGAGAGACAAGCCACATTCAGTTCTCTTTATAAACTTGAGACTTTCCTCTTTAGATTAAGTAATTAGTACTGAGAGTGATTTTTTTCCCACCACAAGGAAAATGGTATCACATGTATGATGATATAAAGCAAATGACAGTGGGCATCAGAGTCAGGGACCCAATGGGGGCTTGTGAGGACCGTGGGATATTACAGGGCAAATGTAATTCCTGAGACAGAATCTTCTGCTTAGTTCTCATTCAGGTATTGCCACGAAAGAATAGAAACCTGCAGGGCTGTCAGATCACCTACTTTGTCAAAGAGAAACTCCAACCTATGTTGTCTATCAATTCTCCTCTAGTTTAAAAGCTGGCATAAAGAAAATAATGATAACAACAGCAACAACAAAAACAATAATGTTTGAATCAAATCACACATCTTCGGGTCAGATTCAGCCCATGAGCCAGCATCCAGTGATCCCTGGACCAGCTAATGTGCAGAGTTCCTGCCTGCTCGAAGGCTGGCTGTTTCTATCAGTACTCAGCATGCACTGTGTTTGTTTACACAGGATACTGGGCAGCCTCATGAATATTTCACACTGGCTTTCGTGTGTGTATGTGAGCTGTGTCCCCAAGCAGATTCCAGACTCACTGAGGGCAGGGACCATGTCCCTGGCTTGCAGTGGGTCTCGATTCTGACTCTCCTGGTACGAGGAGCAGCCCTCTCAGGGTGATGGTTCACCGTGGCTGGGGCAGACAGCCAGATGGAGGAATTTTCCCCAGGCAGAGATGAGGGAGAGCTGGGAGCCTCACATTATTTGGGGGCCTGAGCTCTGGATCTTGGGAGGGCAGCTTCCCTCACTCCCAGTGTTCCAGGGAAGTGAGGCAAGGGAATCAAGGTTAATGACTTCCACTTACATCTTGTCTGCCAGATTTATAAATGAGCTCTCTGTTTCCTTTGGGAATCCTGCCTGCTGCTGGGAAGATGTGGCTGCTTTTGCAGAGGGAAGGGACTTGCTTCTTTCAGATCACCCCAAATGAGCAGGCAGATTTCTCTGGGTGTTCTCTCCTTGGAGTTCCCAGCTGGTCATATCTGTGGCTTTCAATGATGTGCTGCACCATAGCATATGTTTTGGAGCTGACCTTCTCAGGGTCAAGTCTCACTTACAAAATGGCAAGTCCTTCTGTCCTACTATTTAACATGTTTTTTGATCATCTCTATGCCCACAATGATGAACAATTTTTTTAAAAAAAAATACAGCTCCTGTTCGCTGCCCTTCAGGGGATTATAATTTGAGGACTTAGAACCCAAAAAATGAAGACATGGAACATATTATGAAAATTTAACATAGTTTGGAGAAATCATGGTCGGTAGCAATAAATGATCACCAGCAAATAAGTTGTGCCAAAAGAAGTAACATAAGAGCAGAAAGGAGGAAGAAAGAATGATGAGATGTATGCAAGAAGGTTAAGGCTTTAAAAATTATTAAGGGCAGGGATTTCCATCAAGGAATAGAGGGACATTGAGGGAAAGGGCTGAAGACCAGGTTGAGCAGTGGTTAGAGGCACAAGCTTTGGAATCAGACTCAGGTTTGAATCCTGAGTTTGTTGCAGGATTCTTAGGTGCAAGTGGCAGAGACCCAATTTAAGATGGTTTAGGCTAAAAGGAGATCTAGTGATTTTCAAAAGAGTGTGCCCTGTAATACAGAATACACTGTAGTAATTAGGGAAGCTCTTCTAAATAGCCCATTAGGATTGCCTGGTTCTATCCATCTCATTTCAGAGTTTTCTGCTAACTCTTCCACTTGCCTTCTGTTGTCAGGATTTCTCCATCCAGCAGGTCATAAAGCACCTGAAAGCTTAGGATAACAGCCTTGCAATTCCCTAACAGGCTATTTCTCCTCTTGCTCCAAGTACAAGGTCCCAGAAAAGAGCTTTGAGCGCAGCGTGCTCACCTGGCCCGAGGAGTGAGGTCCTACATTTGGACACACTTGGGTCATGAATGGAGTTTTGCGATTGACAGAGGTAGACAGAGACTTCTACTAGTCTAGAAGCAGTAGGTATTTATCATTCTTTATTTGAGGGAAATGTCTTAGAATAATTCAGCTCAGTATTTCCTGCACCTGGATAAGCTTGTTAGAATTCACATTCCCAGATATCACGCAATGGTCTAAACCCATCCCTAGAGACTGCACCTGGGTCCAGAGGCCCAGAAAACTGTACTTTTGAACCATATTTTCAGGTAACTCCAGTGATTAGCTAGGTATGAGGATCACCTGCTTATCCTAATCCTGATGTTTTACTGAGGAAGAAATGGAGACACGGAATGGAAAACAATTCACTCAAAGTAACACAGCCAGAGAGCAGTAGAAGAGGAATAACACTTAGGTCCTCCTCCTTTGCAGCCCCCTCTCATTCCCCTTAATGCTTATGGCTTTCCTGGGATGTTTCAGTGTCTCACTGGATCAGAGAAAGGGTGATAGAAGATGGCCCTAGAAGTCACTGTCTCCCTAACAATTCTGCAGTTGGACTTGATTCTCACACACTAGCACTCCCAACACACACACACTTACAGTTAGACATGCTTCCTCTTTCTCCAGTGCTGTGTCCCCCAGAGCTCAACAGGACCCAAGGAGAAGCAAAAGGGAAGGGTGCTTTATAGACAACTTAGTGTGATACAGTGAGCTGCAGAGAAAGGAGCAACAGAAGGAGCGAACGTCTGGATGCAGGAACAGACATGGAGCATGCAAAGAATGGGGGTATCAGGGGTCTGAGATGTGGAAGAAGGACTAACAGGAGAGTGGGACTTAATAAGGCTGGAGTTTGATTGTGTAAGGGTTTAATTCCATGTTCTTGCATAAGAAATCTGTCAAGGAGAAGGGATTCGCCACCTCCTGGGGCTATGTGTATGCCCACGTAAACCCCATGACATTTCTTTTCAAACAGAGAAGCTCTTTAATGGCTGTGCCTCTGTATGTTCAATGGTCTGCCACATAAAAATGTGAATGAATTTCAGTTTTTGACAGCTCTGACTATGTAACAATCAAATTCCAAAATTAGAATTAAAAAATGTCTTGAAAAATGGTATTGTAGAGCCAACCCAAAAATGTTTTCTTCATAAGACTTGCCCTGTAATATGTATCTCCCCAGGAAGAGTTCAGTGTTGGGGAGAAAAATAAGATTAGGAAATTCTGTCACCTCTAGTCCCTTTCACAGAAACTCTCAAGAATTATTAGCATAATAAAGGCTCTGAGAAGTCCCTTGGGACAAACACCCAGTAAACTTTGTTAAGTTCATTGTTCTCAAACTTTGATCATAGAAATCTTTTCTTCATCAATCATATTAATATCCCACTGTGACAGTCAGAAAAGATATCCTTTTGCTACTTGGGGTGTGTGGAAGCTTTTCATGTCCCCAATTTATTTTTGTTAGTTAAGCCACAAGAAACAAAGACCAGGAGTGCATGTTACTAACTGCTTTTTATTTTTTTGGTTTTGTTTTTTTGAGACAGGGTCTTGCTATGTAGTTCAGATTGGCCCTGACCTCACTATGTAGCCCAGGCTGGCCTTGAACTCGCAGTGATCCTCTTGCTTCAGCCTTGCTTCTTTATTTTTAAAAATAATTTTAGTTAATATCTTACTTCCATTCTCAAGGTCAGTACATACATGGCTTCACGTAGAGATGTGCACGTGATAATTTGGAGGCAAACATCAAAATAAAATAGATCCCAAAGAATGAGGGAGAATACTTTCTGATTAATTTTCTGGAAAGAGATTTACTCCCTCATTTCTCTCATTGCTAATGTTTAGAATGTATGCAGCACGGGTTAGATTCTCTGGGAAGCCAGTTTTGAAATGGAATTTAGTGTATGGATGATTTA